TCCCTTGTCAGCTCCACATTCCCCTCCAGCCCCACCACACCCGGCACTTTTCCCTGCAACCGCAGGAAGTCCTACACCTGCCCTTACACCTCCCCGCTCACCCCCATCCCAGGCCCCAAGAAGACTTCCCACATCAAGCAGATGTTCACCTGCACATCTGCCGATGTGGTATACTGCATCCGCTGTACCCAGTGTGGCTTCCTCTACATCGGGGAAACCAAGCAGAGGCTTGGGGACCGCTTTGCAGAACACCTACGCTCGATTCGCACTAAACAACTGCACCTCCCAGTCACGAACCATTTCAACTCCCCCTCCGATTCCTCAGACGACATGTCCATCCTGGGCCTCCTGCAGTGCCACAATGATGCCACCCAAAGGTTGCAGAAACAGCAACTCATATTCCGCTTGGGAACCCTGCAGCCCAATGGTATCAATGTGGACTTCACAAGCTTCAAAATCTCCCCTCCCTCTACCGCATCCCAAAACCAGCCCAGCTCGTCCCTGCCTCCCTAACCTGTCCTTCCTCCCACCTATCCCCTCCTCCCACCTCAAGCCGCACCCCCATTTCCTACCTACTAACCTCATCCCGCCCCCTTGACCTGCCCGTCCTCCCTGGACTGACCTATCTGCTCCCTAACTCCCCACCTACACTCGCCTTTACTGGCTCCATCCCCACCTCTTTGGCTTGTCTGTCTCCTCTCCACCTACCTTCTCCTTTATCCATCTTCTATCCGCCTCCCCCTCTCTCCCTATTTATTTCAGAACCCCCTTCCCCTCCTCCATTTCTGAAGAAGGGTCTAGGCCCAAAACGTCAGCCTTCCTGCTCCTCTGATGCTGCTTGGCCTGCTGGATTCTGTTTTTGTTGGTGGGGGGGGGAAGGGGATGTGAGGGCGGGGATGTGAGGGCAGAGGTGTGGAAACGCAAGAGATGCGGTTGAGAGCATTTTTGACCACTGAAGCGGGGGGAAGTTGCAGTCCTTGAAATAAGAGAACATCTGGGATGCTCGGGAGTGGAACGCCCCATCTTGGGAGCAGACGTGGCAGAGGAGGAGGAATTGGGAGCAGGGGAAATCGCATTCTTGAAGGAAGGTGGGTGAGAGGAGGTGTAGTGCAGGTAGCTGTGGGAGTTGGTGGGCTTGAAATAGATGTTGGTTTCAAGGTGGTCACCAGAGATGGAGACAGAAAGGTCCAGAAAAGAGAGAGAGGTATCAGAGGTGGTCCAGGTGAACCTGAGGTTGGGGTGAAAGGTGTTACTAAAGTTGATGAACTGTCAATCTCGTGCGAGCACAAGGCAGTGCCGATACAGTCATCAATGTAGCGGAGGAAGAGGTGGGGAATAGTGCCAGTGTAGCAGCAGAAGAAGGACTGTTCCACCCTCTAATGACCGACCCCCTAATGTGAAAGGATTACAGTAAGAGATGGTGCTGTGAGCATTCATTGAAGCACAGAGGTAATGCAGACAGTAAGGTGCAAGAAACTGTAGAATTGGAAGAGAGTGTCAGGATAGCATTAACAATGTGAGTCAGAGGAATAAAGACTGAAGGCTAAAAGAGAGCATTGGCAATCAGATGACGAGCATTGTCTTGTACCTTGTGCAGGACTGCAGGAGAATCAAACAGCCATTCACAATGCTAAAGTATATATACTAAATACAGAGGGAATGTTCCTTTTTCTGTGAGGGATTAAACAGTCAACATAGCCAAATTTTGTACACTCACGTCAAACCCTAGAAATTTGTGAAGCAAAAGAACAAAAAGTCTCATCTTGAATCAATTAATAAACATGCCTTCAGTGAAAGTATGACAAATATGAACACATTTCTGTTGGTGTACTTATTCAGTTCAACATGTTTAAGAGCTTTTCAATAGGTCATGTAAATAAAAAGTTACACAATGTTCCCCTATTGTAACTACAAATAAATAAATTGAGTATTTCAGGATCCAGAGTTTATCACCTCACTTTAAGCTGTCAATATTCAGCTTACTCAGTTGGCCAACGTCACTTCTAAATAGCATAGTTGAGTTAAATATCACACATGGTCTTCAAAACAAACGCTTAATATAGGCAATGCATATGTACATAAATTAGATAATCATTATGCAACAATAACATCACAAAAAAAGTCATACCTCCGATGGAAAAGCAGCTCTTCTTCCTTCCCCACTGCCCCGCCCTCCCCCAAACAATAGAATCATAACTTCTTTGCTTTTGAGCACCATGCTTGTACGTATAAAGCCCAGGATCTCACGTGCCTTTCAATCACTTTCTCAATCTATCCTATCACTTTCAACAATTTTGCATTTCTAGGTCAACTTCCCTATTCTTACATGCCCCTTTAAAATTTTACCTTATAGTTTATATTGTTTCTCTTTATTCTTTCAATCAAACTATATCACTACACCTCTCTGTATTACACTTAATTTGCCTTGTGTCTGCCCATTCTATTGACCTGTTTGTGTCCTTTGGAAGTCTATTGCAATGTTCTCATGTTTGGTGTCATCTGCAGATGTTGAAATACGCCCCTGTACACTTAAATCAAGTTTATTATATTCCAAAGCCATGGTGTTAGCTTCACTTCAATTCTTCCTCCAGTCTGAAATATAACTGTGTGCCATTACTCTCTGTTTCCTGTCATTCAGTCAACATTGTATCTATGCTACAAGTGCCCCCATGACTCCTTAAGCTTCAAACTTACTGGCATCAAATACTGGAGGCTGTCAGCCATATTATGCATTCTTGGCTGGTAGCTCAGAAGTCAGGTGACATTGTGGGTTGCATTTTCAGTGTTGGCACCTGTTGTACCCACAAATCATCATAGTAGCATATGCCAGCCCACAACAGGAGATATTATTATTTGCCTGTCATTAGCCCATATCTCCCAGGTGCAAAAGTCAATGTTTAGGGCCTTCATGTCACACTTGCAGGCATTCTTGATACAAAGCCTTGGGTATCTTACTAACCTCTGGTTTCACCTACTTTGTCATACAAACCATCTTTGTGTATGCATGTATCTTCAATCCTGTGAATGTCTGAGCCACAGAAATTGCAATTGCTTGATTACTGTCAACATACTGGGAAATCTGACCTTCAGAGGACAGCCACATTTACGATTTTGTCCTTCCATGAGCTGTTAGAATGTACTGAAAATAGTGAAGGTAAAAGTTGTTGATCTTCCTTTTTTGACGTCTGTAATTTGTCCGTTTTTCACAACCATAAAACAATGCACCGGGAACATGGGCCTCACAAAATGGTACCCTGGTCCGAAGAATCAGCTTGTTGTGATTCCGTGCACATTGCTTGATTCAGCCCACGCTGGTAACTGATTTCCCTATGTGTGTATTGAGCGCTACATCAAGAGACAGATTGTCTGTCACTGAGAAGCCAAGTAGCAGAATTTGCTAATCACTCCAAGTGAGGCATTACTTAGAGTGATCAAGGATGGATGTATGATATCTATTCCTGACATGTATAGTAAGGGAGAAAAATTATATGTATTGGACAGGCATTCAATAAGCCTTTTTCATATAGTGTCCATGTGCGCAATTAATGCGACATATGAACCTAGAGGTGTGCCAATGATCAAAATGCGGTGTGCTTTTGTATTCACTTTTAGTCTGGATAGATTGCAGAGCTATAGGTTGTTATCATCTGAACTTCTGTTTTTACAGGATAAGTCAGATCCAAGACAAGAACCCAGTTTGATAGATCACAATGTTATTTGTTTTGGTTTTAGCAAAGTGGTTGCTCTCTCTGAAACATAAGCATGCAATGTTGCAGATTTTGCTTTAAAAACACAAAATCAAAGCATATTACAAAAGGGATGCAGGTAAAATGAATAATCTGAACTGTCTACTTATAAATTCAAATAGTTTTAAACGCAGAATAAAAGTTACTCCCAAAACATTCCTTTATAAATTGAAAAGAAACAAAATGCCTCTGTATGGTTCTCAAAACAACATTCCTGGTACAATTACTAAAACGAGACTTTTATAACACTCATGTTAGACTCCCTGTATTTAACACCTCGGTGGATTTAAGACACTTATAATTTCAACTTTTACACTGGAATTGTGGCAACATCTTCCAGAAGTTACCACACACTGGAGCTTCACTGTACTCAGCTTTAATAACCACTTCTGGTCTGGGACTAACACTAACTTTTCAATCCGAGGTAATCTAATTTACTAAATCTATCATTCCTTTTTCAGGAGCACAGCTCTGTACAGCCATTCTGTTAAGATCTTCATAGGACTAACACACTCAAAGTCGAAATAAAACTAAAAGCTTTCAGTTGTGGGTGTCTTGCTTCAGCTTAAAAAAATCAAGACTCCAAAACACACTAACAAACCTTCGAGGCCCCATTAATCCGTTAGTGCATAAATGAATGTACACTACAATAAAAGCAAAATACCGTAGATGCTCAAAATTAGGATAGAAAATGCTGGAGAGTCTCAGCAGATCTGGCAGTACTTGTGGAAAGAAAAACAGTATTAACATTTCAGGTTCAGTATGACTCTTCGAAATCAAGAAGAGTCATACTGCACTCGAACATTAACTCTGCTTCTCTTTTACAAATGCTGCGAGACCAGCGGGGTTTCTTCAATATTTTTGGATTTCATTCATTCTACAGCCAGGCTTCAAAATAGTTTCTAAAATAAATCACTGTGTTTACAGAAATGCTGTACAAGTTAATTAACTTGAAACATACAGAAAAACCCATGTCACGACTTCAAAGCCAGAAATGGAAGCTTACAGCTACTAACATTAAAAATTATACATATAAATGCCACAGTTTACATTACTAGGTAAACTCTTGTCTTATCTGCAAGGAAACAAAGGTCAAGAATATGGAGAAGAAAATACCAATAGAAAGCTTGAAGATGCATCAAAAAGTGTAAATGATTAAAATTTTCCTGTAAAATGTCTATAGATCCATTTAAAAAATAAATTTGCATAAAATCAGAGTTTTGTGCAGAAAAATTTCAAACTCCACGAACACAGTTTCCCTTTTCTATACATTATTCTTTATTCTCTGTAATAGCTGTAGTTCACATCTAGATAGACAATGGGTTTCAGCTTTCACAAAAAAATCTGAAAATTGCAGAATGTCATATAAAATAAGAACAAATATTCCAACATTTCAAGAAATAATGTAAGTTAACTTATTGCGATACCATGGAGCAGCATCTTTTAGTTATAGATATTTATTCCAGATTCATTTTCAATCAGTCAATTGAGCTCTCAGCTTTTTTGAAATTTCATTGTGAAGTTTTTCAAGATTCGTGGGTTTGCCTGTGTGCGTTTGAATCACTTAGATCCTGTTTTCATCAACCTTTCACAGCATACAATGCAAATAAGGTGAAATAATTAAATTTGTTCCATTTAATGGACATGAAAAGTCAAAACACAGATTCAAAGTATAATCAAGCATAATTCTTATGAGCGCATACATAAAAACACGGTGTGAAAGCTGCACTTGTCTGAATTGAATGCCTTTCTTGCGCTGGTTTATATAGTGTTACTTTTTCATCCATGATCTTTATTTGATTAGGACAGATAGTTTCCCTCTTCTCATTCTTCCTTCAGTATACAGTATTCAAATAATGACAAATCTGTTAGGCTTCAGCCTAGCTTTTTCTAAAAGATTTTACTATAGAGATTAAATGCTATAGGTTTTTGTTGTGTTGCAAAATAATTTTGTTTCCAAAAAGAAGAGATTGATGCATTACTTCCATAATCATCACAACTTTGGTCCTGATAATTCATGACTTATAACAATAATTGCTAATTATGGAGGATTCCCCAAGAGACATTTTGATGCAGCATTTTAAACACTACAGGCAGATATCACATTTGCAAACCCTATTCCCTAATTATTATCAATATAAATGTAGTCATGATGTGCCTTCCCTTGCATTTTCTCATTACCTTGGAATGTATAATTTTTTTGCAGACATTGTCAGAACATGAAAATTCTGTCCAACAGGACAATTTTCTGAGTGATCAAATGATCTGAGTTATTATTAACACATTTTCCAAGAGGTACTGTGGTAAAACATTGAGAGACATCCTGAAGAATGCCAGTCTTGTTTCTGTTCCTTAATGTAAGCTTCTCAAAATCATACATTCATATCTCAACATGACCTTTATATTTCTAACTGAAAAATTTCCTGCATTCACTTTTGAAGGGGTTTTCCCTGAGCTATCCAAGTGAACACATTGCGCTTCAATGACAAACTTCTTGTGGTTAACAGACCCAGTGTTTCATGGTTTGAAATCCCACTGACATACTTCTTCCTTACATTGCGGAGTTCAGGAACTGAAGGAGTTCAGCTCGATTTCGGTCTCTCTGTAGGATTGAAAAATAGTTTTATGAGCTTCAATAGACTGAATGCATGTGAATAACTAAAAGAAATGAGAGTTCACACAGGTTTGAAAATGCTGAGCATTGAGTGCCTAAGTTTCTGTTGCACTTTCTTGGGTACAGGCACCCAGTCAGAATGCAAAGTTTCAATTCAACAATAAATTTAAAATTGCAATAATCAATTCTTTTAAAGAAGCTCAAATGCTAAAAATCCAAAAAAAGGCACTAAAATATTGGAAATGGAGGTTGATTAATATTTGAGAAAGAATGAATGATTGATGCATCAGAAATGTTAATCTTATTTTCTCTTTCAGATACAGGCCACCTGTTGCGCATTTTCTATTTCTAGTTGACATTTGGTCAGAAATACAACATGCTCCGGTACATTCTACACATTTACAAAGTTCAAAAAGGATTCAGTTTTCATTATTTCTATTCCTAATTTTTAAGATTATTTTATTAGAAATTTAACAGCCTCAAACATAGAGTACATGTAACAAATTTTAGACAAAAGTTCATTAACTAAAACTGTTGGCTTGGCAAATCAACTCTTTTGCTCATAACGTGTTAAGAGTAATATTAATTTCTCGCCATTAATAATTGACCATTGGACGAATAACCGCAATGGATTTATTTTTTACAATCTTCGCAATCGTAATGTGTCACAACCTGGGTGGTAGGGAAAGATGAAAAAGACTGTGAAATCACACGTTACAAGTTGTGAACTTTATTTGCAGCATAGTCTAAGGACAGAGTACAAAAGTAAGCCAGAGCTCCCTCCCTCAATCACTGCTGGAAAGCGTGCACGTGAGGCAATCAGGCGATAAGAACAAGGTTTTACGTAGTCATTGTAGCCTCCTTATTGCATAATATTCACATAGTTCAAATAAAGGATTCTACTTAATTCTGGTATCAGAAGGCTACAAGCACTTTCGAACCTAACCCCAGTAAAAATGTCACCTTCAGTAGAAGTCTGAAGAAATTTAAATTAAATATGTTAAAAGGACGGACAAACTGTTGGAAAGCCAACAGTTCAAAGCCTTGCAAAACCTCTTTTTTTTTAAACAAGCGTTACAAAGTATTTCAAGTTGGGGATGGTGGAAATTTTAGAAATGGGTTCATAACATGTTTCTCTATTAAGTTCATGTGCTCTTAAAAATAAGCAAGTTAACATACCTCTTTATCATCTTTGGTCTTTTTAACTTTCATTTTTATTTTCTTTCCTGTAATCATGCTGTATGTATCACTTCTGTCCCTGTCTTTCAGAAACTGCAAATAGAATGGTTTTTTGTAAACACAAGTGCGCAGAAAGCATAAAAACAGTGCACTGATCACCACCTTGTGATCAAAGGTGGAACTGCTAACTGATGAAATTCTTCCTTTTTGAATGAGAAACTGAATAAATTCTAAACAGAGATTTAAACTTTCTTTTCTAACTGGAAGGGAAAGGATTTCCTGAACTTCTGAAACACTTTCTAAAGGATATGAAGTGGTGAGAAAAATCTTTACTTTTGTAACAAAAGTGCGGCATTCGTTGCAGCGCACAACATCACATGACTCAGTTACAAAGCTGTGGACGTGTAACCAACAATCAAAACCTATTAAGCATTCTATGCACTGAACTGCTGTTAGAACACATTTGCTTCACCATGTGTAGGTGTTGTCACGCTTTTGTAACACCCAGCACCTTCAGAAAGACTTAAATTTGCTCAAACATACATTTTAAGAGAAAAACACAAAGTGGAGAGCTATAACAAGAATGTGTCTGTTATTATGAAATTTCACACTGAACCCTTCAAGTTTTTAAAAACAGCAAACATCAATTAGTTAGACTATCCACATGTTTTGTTAATCTTTACAATGCAATTTTAATTTATAAAAGTAATAAAAACAATTACACACCAACAAATCCAAAAATGTTGATAGCTATACTCTTCTTGCTTCTCACTCTTTCTGATTTGAGTTACTAACCTCGGAATTTTAGATACAGTGCAAGAATAATACTTTGTTCTATAGAAAGAAGGCAAAGTACGTGAGTAAATCACTTGCCTGTGAAAAGGATGATTTCCTGACAGCTCTGCTTCCTTTGCCCTTATAGATCAAGATTATAGATCATGAAGCCAATCCTTAAGGCACCATCCTTTTTTCTGCTATAAGAAAGCTATTTCCTGACATACTCTCAGCAGATCAGGAACACTTCTACAAAAGACAAGAGCAAAGTAACCTCACCTCTGATGGATCAGATACTAATGCTCAACATATTCTTGTCTAGCCTATAGGTGTAACTGTCTGCTATATGCGACATACGTTGATCAGAAAAACGTAAGAAATAAGAGAAGGGACCAGTCTGTGCACTATTCAATATGTTCACGGCTGACCTTCTATTCCAATTTTCATTCCTCCATCCCTAGGTTTCTTTAGCATCTAAAAATCTACCAATGTTAGTCTTGAACGTACTCAATGCCTGCACATTTATAAGCCCCAGTGTAGAGAATTCCAAATATTTATAACACTCTAACTGAATAAAGTTATCCTCATTGCAGTATTAAATGTCCAACACCTTGTCTAGACATCCCCGGGGTCTCTGTATGGGGGGTGGGGGGGAGCTGCTGTTAGGCACAAACAGTGCTGTAATAACTCTGACCTTCACCAAGAAACTGTTCGCATCTCCTTTTTGCTACTGGTTTTCCCAAAGTTGAGGAAATCAAACCAAACACTGTAAAACTGCAATACTGTTTAATTAAGATGCTGTCTGCCTCTTTGAAATACTTACATTGCCAACCCCTCTTATGGCAGCAGGTAGGCTGCCCATTCCTTGTCTCTCCCACCACTATTAAACCCCCACCCTTAAACCTGACGGTAGGTAGATTGGGTTAGAATTCAGATTTTCAAAAATTTTAACGTGATCCAGTCCCAACACATATTTTTGGGTGTTAAAATTCAGCCAAAAGAAACCATCAGTTAGTTACCTGTATTACTGTTAATTATGAGGAGAGTCTGAGGATTGCCATTATTACTATTAGTTATTGCCACAATTTCAGTGAATTACTCTTGGAAAGATTTACTGGTGGAATCAAACTTTCTCGATCTCTGGTTTTGCTCTCTTACAATCCCTCCACGCTTCTTGGTCCTCAATTCCTTTTCTTCGCCTCTTTGAGGTTGGCTTCATGGTTCTCCTGAATAATTGCTGGAGTGAAACCACAAGCAAAGATACTCAACTAATAAGGAACTAATTGTTATGATCACTTCGAGATTTGTAAATGTCACATGATCAAAGTCCATGTATTTAACATTCGATATGAAGAAGGCTAAAGTTTTTTGCCTTGTTTTCATGGAGGACCATGCATATAATGTATGATGTCAGCAAGTTAGGCAGCAAGATCAAAAACTGTATTAATATTCATCTATGTGATATTTAAAATGAGTAATATATCTTCTGAAAACGTATATCTTCTGAAAATTCGTGTAGGACCCAAGCTCACACTTAACACACATAAAGAAAACACAAGTCTCCTCTTTGCTAATTTCTAAGAATCCAGAAAATGAAGCCAGCCTCAGTTCAAGTTCCCAGAATGATCACACCAAAACGTTTCTTTCAAGTTTGGCACAACTAACAGCAATTCCACTTGGATGATTCAATAAATATAGACATTGAAGATCTGGCTGGGATCAGGATAAAGAAGTGTGATCAACAAATGATGCACAACAGACCAATGTTTCACTGAGACCCTTGCACAATCAGCACCTCATTAGGAAAATCTATTTAGCATTTTAATGCTAGTTATTACTATTGGTTGCAATAGTTATTTTAAACAGAAATTCCAAAAATATATAACACGGTCAACATTAATTGTAAAATATTGCAGAAAAAGATGCAATTGCTTCTATAACGTGAACTTCAGTGCTTCAAGATCTCAGAATGAGAGCCCGTGAAGAAGAAATCTCAGGTGTTGAAAGCGTATATGACAAGAGTTAGTTTGATATTATTTCTAAATTCCATAAGCAAGACAAAAAAAAGCCTCTCTGCTCCTATGATGCTGCTTGGCCTGCTGTGTTCATCCAGCCCTGCACCTTGTTGTCTCGGATTCTCCAGCATCTGCAGTTCCTACTATCTCTGCACCAGTTTCTTTGTCAGATTTATAATTATAATGTAGCTTTATAGTTTTCATCTCTCACTGGTCCCACTGCAACCACTGGCCATCCCCACAACAGAACGTTGTGATTCTACCTCGATTCTGTTAACTACAACCATACCACAGTAGTGTGCAATTACAGTGTGGCAAGTTTTATTATAAACACAGTTTCTAATATAAATACTTAGAAATTTGAAATGTAAAACTAAGGACAGAACACTTGATTTTAAAATGAGGATAGCATGTCCCATTCCAATTAACCTCTAGCCTCTTCAGATTAAATTTTATTTTAACTCTGCAATGCCTCAGGAGACAAAAGTATTATTTCACTAAAAATAATGTTCATTCATTTACAGTTTGTACAGAAAGGGGGCCAGGGATATCAAATTTAATCCAGAAAGTACCAGCAAAAAGATCAGAGTAGCATTTAATGCAAATTGTATTTAAAATATTCAGTCACTGTAAATCAGTAGCACAGATGCTATGCCTAAAATAGCACAACATCCCTATGGCTACAAAGCAATGTGTTCTCTGACATATCACGGGTAATAGATTAGGAGAAACAGTAGGGTGAGGTTGTTGTCAAAATATACTTAGATAATTTTTAAGGTCAGATACGATGTGGTTAGCTTGTGACTGTTAATTAAGATTATGAGTATTCCCTTATCAAATAAAAATAAAAGTGAACCGATTTTCTGATTTAATTTTGTTTTTAACTCAGCAACCGCAGGTTAAATTACCTTAGAAATCTGAACAGGTCCAGAACACACATTCTTTTTCTTCTTGTGCTTCTTTATTTTCTCCTTTTTTCCTCCCTAAAAGGAAGCAAATTGTTTTAACACTAGGAGAAATTCTTTCCCTGGATTGAATAGAAAATGGGCATCAGTTCTATTTCAAAATAACTTTGCACATACAGTATTTTTATAATAAATGTATTAACACGAGAAGAAACTTCAAAATAAATATCCCAAGTACGCAGGAGAAGTTCTCACCTTTTTGTGTTGTTTTTCTTTCTTCCTTTTCTTTATTTTTGATTGTTTCTGGGAGTCTGCCAAAACAATTACAAAATCAGCCTTTAATATGAAACTCCCAATAGGATTCCCTAAATATTTTAACATGCCATACTCAAAGAAAATGTAATCATAAAAGATTAGTTAACAAATTATTGCTAAAGAATGCTCATTCATTTTCAATTGATTTTCCATATTGCTTTATTTTTCACCTATATAGTAGCCATGAGAAATATTGATCCACAACACAACCGCGATTCTTCTCAAGAGTACATTACTGGTATAAAAATTGATACACATTTATAAAATTCTGCACGGAAGATACTCACAAAAGCACTATCAAACATTTATGCTTACATGCTGTCTGGACCACAGTGGAAAGCAAATAGCCTGCTATAAACGCAGAATAATGATGTGGTGTTTTGTAAAAATTATATTGGAAATTCATAGTTTCATTTGGCTGGATTCTCTCTTAAGATATTGACTAAGTGATTAGAGTCCAGGATTTGCATTTTCTATGAATGAAGCAGGTTTGAGGAGTTCTCCTTTTCCACATTATTTTACAATGGAGATAATCTGCTACAGCGGTTTTCAAAGCTTTTCTTCAGGCGAGATTCAACATTTCAAAGTTTTTGTAACAATTTCCAAAGTAATTTCAGTTACTTGCTTTCCTCTATCCATGGAGTGCACAAGAATTCTTTGCTCCTTCAATTTTGCTCAACATTCCCTCATTTTTCTCTCTTGTACTTTATGCTTCTTTACTTCCATCTCTCTTTTTCAGTTCCATTTTACTCTCCAGTTACACAGCTTCTGTTGGCTGTGGAACAATCATTCAAATAGTTTGCGTCATCTACTGTCTTATTGTGGAGCAACAGGCATGGTGCAAGGAGAGAGCAAGTGGAATGAGAGTGAGCCATGGAACTGTAGGATTGACAGGTTGAAGTGGGGCATGAATCATTGCAATTGTCACGAAAGTGCTAATGTAATTCAGGCAAGCTAATGGCAATAAATGTGAATTTGACCATTTTCCAGCCACACTGTGCACTCTACCGGGACAGTGTTCATGTCCTGTGGTTTCAGAACTACATTTTAAAAACTTATTAAAAGTTATTGCAAGATTCTAAACAGCTTTGATGTACAGAGGGATCTTGGGGCTCAAGTCCACAGCTCCCTCAAAGTGGCCACACAAGTGGACAGGATGGTAAAGAAGGTATGTGGCATGCTTGCCTTTATCGATCAGGGAACCGAGTACAAGAGTCAGGATGTCATGTTGCAGCATTATGAGACTTTGGTGAGACCACACTTAGAGCATTGCATTCAAATCTGGTCACTACATCACAGGAAGGATGTGGAGGCTTTGGAGAGGGTGCCGAAGAGGTTTACCAGGATGTTGCCTGGATTAGAGGGTGTGAGCCAAAGGGAGAAGCTAGAAAAATTTGAGTTGTTTTCTCTGGAGCTGCGGCGGCTGAGGAGAGGCTTGATAGAAGTGTGTAAATTTTTGAGATGGAGAGAAAGGGTTGACAGACAGAATATTTCTCCCAGAGTTGGAATGTCTAATACTAGGAGGCTTACTTTTAAGGTGAGGAGGCAAGTTCAAAGCTTTTTTACACAGAGTGGTAGGAGTCTGAAACGTGCTGCCAGGGGTGGTGGTCGAGGCAGATACAATAGGGGCATTTAAGGGACTTTTAGATAAACACATGAATATGCAAGGAATCGAGGGATAGAGACCAAGGGCAGGCAGAAGAGATTAGTTTAATTTGGCATCATGTTCAACACAACATCATGGGCTGAAGGGCCTGTTCCTGCGTTGTACTGTTCTCTATGTTATTCATGGGATGTGGACTTTGCTGGCTAGGTCATTACCTATTGCCCATTCCTAATTACTCTTGTGAAGGTAGTGGTGAATCACCTTTTTGAACTGCTACAGTCGCTGTGATATAGGTACAGCTGCAATGCTGTTTGGAAGGGATTTCCAGGATTGCGACCTAGTGGCAGTGATGTAACAGTAACATACTTCCAGGTCAGGACAGGGTGTGGCTTGGAGGGGAACTTGCAGGTGGTTGTATTCCAATGTAACTGTTGCTCTTAACTACTGATCAATTGACAATACCCGAACTGCCATCCCGTGACAGTAATCAACCACTCCCAACAATTCTGGATTATTATACATCACACAGGAAAAGGATTCCTACATTGTTACAAAGTAGAAAGAAATATAAACTTTAGCCCAAGATGAATTAGCATTCCACATGTACTATCAAAATTCAGTTCTCTAATTTTAATATTAGTGTAAGGAGCCCACATGATTAAACAAACAAACTGCTTCAGAAATATTGTGAAATTGCAATATATGTAGAAGAATGCAGCCCTCAACCTGAAGTTCTAAGTGCAAACAAGGGACAGCTGTAATATTCACTATCTCGCTTCCCATGTGTATAGAATGAGCCAAAGGGGTAAAAGTTAATGATGATATTCGACAGCTGCATGACCTTGAATGAATCCTGTCAACATTCCTGTACGTGCCGAAGCCGGCACAATCAATGTGTTTTTCTGTAGTAGTTTGTTTCTGTGCCTAGCTGTTTGTTACACTGTATACGAGACAGAGTTTCGATCCAAGTCGCTGGACTTCACCTCGGACCGGGATCGTGAACGGTTCCAGGAACAACCTCAGCCTCCAGACCAGCTGTTGACTGAGGGGTCCCCAATGGGCAGAAGGGCGTGAGGCTTATTGTTTTTCCTTCTCTTTTTCATTCTTTTTATTTACTTAATAAATGTTCCTTTCTTTTTATCGTCTTTTATTATTACTCAATAAATGTTCATATTTAAGCAAATTGCTGTTGTTGAGCCTTTTCTTAACTACATTTAACCAAATCCGAAAAGAACTGCTTGGATACACTCTGTGATCCAAGGCACCATGAAAAGTGCAGAAGAATGTTGTATAGCAATGAAAGCCTTTTAACTTAACTTGTGTTAAAAATGGTACTCCAGCTCCCCACTTTTCAAAGGTAAAACAGAGTTTGTAAATCAACAGATAAGTAACATGATATATTTCACACGCTTCACTCTTGAAATTCAAAGTGAGTTTCAACTACTCACAGTGCCTTATACATTTACCTCTACTACTTGACCTGCTTCTGCTACTTGAAGATGATGACAAACTTGAAGAGGATGAACTTGATGATGATGTGGAGGAGGACCTGCTTCTGCTTCGTTTTCTTTCTCTTTTTGTTTTTCCTACATAAAAGAATATTTGCATATTTGGAACAGTGCAAAGTTAACCAAAATTTCTCATACATATCATTATACAGCTTCAATAAGTGCACCGAAACTGAACTGTTAAACTTCTCTTCCAGTGTAATTCCAGGTTTTATATTAGAGCTTCCACAATTCCAAAGAGGATAATGACACCAACTGCAAAGCTAGCTCTTAGTTCAACACCTGACTATTTAAGGCCAGCTAGCTCAGGATGTGCCAGTGTCTTTGGCTAAATATCACACCATACAGATTACATTTGTCCAATTAGCTGTTGGAGGTCCAAAGTAAATTTTTCTATTGCTGTTATTTCGGAAACATCACTTGCATTTATATAGCACCTTTAAGGTTGTAAAAGCTGCTAAAGCATCGGAAAACTATCAGCTGTATGAGCCACCTGAAGATGTTTTACAATAGGTGCTCAAAAATCTGGGAAAAAAAACAATACTTCTTAAAGAATGCCTTAAAAAGATGACATTGAAATGAAGAAAGTTCCAGAGCTTTAGGCTGGTATGGTTGAATGCACAACTGCTAATAGTGGAATGCTTAAAAAAAAATCAGAAATGCACAAGAGGCCAGAATTGAAGAATAAAGATCTCAGTGAGTTATAGAGCTGGAGAAGAAGATTAGGGAAAGGCCATGGAGGGATTGAAAACATGGCTAAGAGTTTTAAAACAAAGTTGTTGTTTGACCAGAGCCCAGTGTAGGTCAGTAAGCACAGGGCTGATGGATAAACAAAACTTGGTGCGAGTTAAGATAGGGGTAGAGAAGCTTTGGATATAGTCAAGTTTACAATGGGTGCAAGCTGAATGATCGGCCAAGAAAGCTTGAATATAGTCAAGACTACCCTCAGAATGTAAAACTTTACAGATTTATGCAATGTATTGTGGTAGGAATAACAGAACCGTATGCAGTTTATCTCTAAAAAGAAATGTTTTAACAATATTTCTGCTTTACTTTTTCTGTGAATTTTACACTGTATCATTTTATTCTGACATCTATCTTCAGCCAAGTGTTAGTCTCCAATAATGTAAAAGGCTAACAAAATATTGGCCTTTTCCTCAAGAAGGCTGAAATAAAAAGAGGCAGAAGTTTTGTTACAACTGTGAACATCTGGTTAGTTCTGACCACCAAACCTTAATGAATAAACTTTTCTTGGAGTGGGTACAGGACATATATTGTAGAATGATAAAGGGTTAAATTATGAGGGCTATTGCACAGACTAAGTTCGAATTTCCTTGACCACAGAGGTTTAAGGAGTGTCTTAAATGAAGTATTTAAGATGATTAAAGGATTGGTAGGGCAGATAAAGAAACTCTGTTTTAGTCAGAACAGAAGTGGGAGGAAATAACTTAAAATCAGAGTCAAGTTATTTGGGGCTGACTTCAGAAAGCGCACCTTCACACACTGGTTAGTGGAAATCTGGAATTTTCACCCTCAAAAAGCTAATGAAGTGAGGTCAACTGAAAGGTTCAGCACTGAGGTTGATGGAATCTTGTCAGATAAAGGTTATAACAGTTACAGAACAAACAATGATACAACACAAACAGAAGTTGCTGGAAAAGCTCAGCAGGTCTGGCAGCATCTGTGAAGAAAAAATCAGAGTTAATGTTTCGGGTCCGGTGTCCCTTCCTCAGAACAACGATTCAAATTCTCCATAATCTAAATGAATGACAAAACAGGATCCAGGAGTAAAATGGCCTGTTCCTATTCCTATATTCCTAATGCACCATACCGCGATCTTGGATACTTGGCCTTGGTAAACCCCTGCTGTTGGGTTCATTCTCAATGATTCTTCATTGCACTGTTATTTGGTCAGTCCTTCAGCAGGTAAAACCTGATCCTGAATGGACCTAGACCATGTGATAAGTCAACTTTCTATCCATCCCCGAATCGGCTGCTGTTTTGACTTGATTTGTAATGAAACTGTTCCCGACCTACTTTATAATACAAACATATGAATGAAGAGCAGGAGTAGGTCATGGCTGGTCTGATTAGTCCCTGGTTGCGCTGATAACTTTTAACTGCCTAGTTTATCAAGAATTTATCTACCTCTACCTCAAAAATAGTCAAGGACTTTACTTCCACCACCTCGTAAGAGAAAGAGTTTCAAAGATGCACGACCCTTTGGAGAGAAAAAAATTCTCATCGCCTCTTTCTTAAATGGTTGACCCCGTATTTTCATGACGACACCAGTTCTACATTCTACCATAACAGAAAACATATTTTCCACATCAACCCTGTCAATACCCATCAGGAACATCACTCATTGCTTCCTGCCAACAGGAAAATGACCCATTTATTATTACTTTCTGTTTCTGCTTACCAAGCAAATCTTCTAACGATGCCAATATGTTACCCCCTACATGATGAGTTTTTTTTTCTCCCCACAATAACCTTACTGAATGATTCTGAAAATCTAAATACAGTACATCCACTGATTCCTTTATCCACACCATATTACTTCCTCAAAAGAACTTTAATAAATTGATTAAACATGATTTCCTTTTCACAAAATCGTGTGATACTGCATGATTGTCCTGCTAAAATACCTTGAATAATAAGTTCTAAATCTTCCCTGTGACAGATGTTAAACTAACTGGCCTGCAATTTCCTGCTTTATGTTTCCATCGCTTTCTGAATAAAAGAGTCACACACACAATCTTCCAATTGTATAGAACCTTTCCCGAATCTTGGGAGTTTGGAAAATTAAAACCAACAAGCCAACTGTCTCACTAGCAATTTATTTTAAGACCCTGGAATGAAGTCCATCAGAACCTGGGCAATTATCAGTCGAGAGCTCAATCAATTTGTTCAGTACCACCTTCCCAATGACTGTAATTTTCTTGAGATCCCCTTTCATTTCCTGTTTTACAGTTATTTCTGGGATGTTACTGTATCTTCTATAATTGAAGACTGATACAAAATACCTGTTCATCAGCCATCTCCTTATTTTCCATCATTATTTCCCCAAAATCACATCCTATAGGACCAATGCTCACTTGGTTAACTTTTTTAAAAAATAGCTATAAAAATTTTAACTATCTATTTTAACATTTCTAGCTAATTTTCAGTCTACTCGTTTTCCCATTTCTTATTCAACTTTTAGTAATTCTGTGCTGTATTTTTATGATCTGTCAAATTTTCTGACCCACCGGCCATCTTTGTAAAATCATATGCTTTTATTGTAAGTTTAAAATGATCTTTAATTTTTATAGCTAATTATAGATCTCCTTGGAATTTTTCATCCTGTTGAAACGTATTTTGTGTTTTCTGAAATATTTCCTTAAAATGTCTGCCACTGCGTTTCTATCGATATAGTTCTTAACCTAATTTGCCAGTTCACTTTTGCTAGCTCAGCTTTCATGCCCTCATAATTGCCCTCATTCAACTTTAAAATACAAGTCTTGAACTCATTCTTCTCTCCATCAAAGTGAATGTAAAATTTAGTCATATAATGATCACTGCTATTTAGGGGTGTCTTTACAATGAGGTTATTAATCAATCCTATCTCGTTGCACAATACTAGGCATGTATAAGCTTCCATGCTGTCTTTGCCACAACTCCTAGGTTTGCTGATGCTGCTGCTCTTCCAAGTTTTGTCTCCCAACTGTATTTTTGTTTACTAGCAGGTAAGTAAATTTATTTAAGTTTACTGATTACTGTCTGTTTTGCAATCAGTGATGAAATGATGGTGCTTGCGGCTGCCCACAAAGATTTAACAACCTCTGTGGCATAGATTTCCCATTTTGAATCTTCTGCTAAGTCATGGGAGTTTCTAGTAATAAGCAACTAATCACATTTAATTACATCTTACCAAGTGTGAATTAGGTCACTGGACATACACAGGAGATTTAAGGTAGAAGCTGAAATGTCAAACAAACATTTATTATTTTTAAAAATATGAACATGTTATTTTAAGAGGGGGAGATCTGACATTCCACAAATATAAAATCAGCTTTTCAAGACCAGAGTGGTTTTTCAACAGCAATTTGTTCATTCAACAAGAAGCAACCTTTGTGAGGCTTTTTACAGAAAAACCCATACTGTAAAAGGGCAAGCTCTTGTCAGTTCAATGATTATCAAACTGCGTACAAGTCTGGGGAATGGTGGGGTAAGAATCCAATGCAGAAATGTAAAAACACTGACAGCAACTTCTGACTTTCCATTTATAAGTATACATATGCAAATATCAGATGTTGCTGTCAGTTTCAGAGGAGTGATAACAGCAAATGTCGCTTTGCCATCATTACTCCTGCACAATCTTCCTTTCAATATGCATAAAGTCACAGAAAAAGTGGATCATTCCTTCAGAGATTTCACACAGGCACAGAAACATGAACAGCCTTTTTATTACTGTAAAATTACAGTATTCAAAAATTATTTTTACTTTGCTTATTGTGATTCATGTGTCAGTTCTCTTCACAGGTTCATTATGTTGTGAGGCCTCATAATGCTGAAGAGCTGGTCTCCCACACTTGTCCCATTATCTGACTTCATGCCAATATTGATGTTTACACCCATTCTCAACAACACCAGTCTTGCTTCATGGTATTTTGCCAGGTTCACTCTGATCATCCTACACCTACCTGATGTTCATCCATATTGTGTCTCAAGCAGCAATTTCCATCTCTGTCCATTTAAATGCCACACTTAGTAGACTACTCTCACAACCCTAGAATGTAAAAATTTAGCAAATTGATTTTTAACATCCTTAAAGTGCTGTATTCTGCCACCATGAAGCGTAACCTGCAGCTCTCACTAACTCTTTCCCAGCACCCATGAGAGAAAAACAGCATAGGAAGAAACAAGAAAGAAGTGACATTCATAGATGAGAAAAAAAGAAGCACACAGAAGCAGATGAGAAAACAGGCAGAAAACAAACAGAAACTTACATAGATCAGATAGAAAACAAATATTTGCATTCATGTTGCGCCACTCACACTTGGAGAACATTCCAAAGTACTTTACAACAGCTTGAG